AATAAGTGATAAAAACGATGGTTTTGTTAACACAATCGGCAGTACATTAACAATGATATGCTGTTTAATAGATTACGAAAAACACAATATTAATGACATTAACTGTCGGTGAATATTATTTATTTCACTCAATATATGATATTTTAATTTAAATACAATACAAAAACTCAATTAATGACTAAAAGTAATCACATTTAACAATACTGTTGTATTGAATACATATAGCGATCGTATTGTAAAATCGTTTACGTGTTGTCAATGAGACCACACTTTGAGACACAATCACTAGATATGAAAAATATGAACCAAAAAAGTGTTTATAATTGTTGTCTGAAATATACTGAAACGTCAATCAATCACAGGCTCTCTAAACACTGTTTTGATGCCATAGTTTTAATACATACACTGTTTTATTAATAGCAGTCAATAACAGTTAGGTATTAGCGTTGGTATTAATGTTTCACATTTTTAGTTATAAATTGCATTCAAACTTATGTTTTGCACTAAAATAGCAATTAAAATGTTGTATTCCTCTCTATTTCGACATTCATTTCAGTATAAATACAAACAAAGTGTTTAAATATAACTAATTTAATGTATTTTTGTGAACAATTGAATTAAATATCACTCTCTCATAGCAAACAATATTCATTTCTATAAAAATTACTAGTTTATAAATATTTGTTGAATATTTGCAAAGAATATACAGAATATTACCGACAATTAACACATCAAAACATTTTAAAAGTAAGTTTATTTCAAAACTAATTTTAATAAATATTTAATTTACAAAAATATGTTTCAATTGACTTTAGAAATCACAACTATTTTAAGGCAGGGATAACTTTAAAATTAATTGATCGTAAAATATATATACATTGTATATAAATTCATTAGAATTAGTTTGCATTAAATTTCAACTGCAAATCCAGTATTTAATTTTAATATCACATCTATTTATCAAATATAACAATAAAAATGTAATCTAGGACTTTTTAAAATTAATTATAACTACATTTAAAACTAAATGACAAATCATTGGGAACTGAGATATTTGTAGACATTTTCATAGAGAGAGAAGTTTAGAGCCGTAGTGGCGGCCGCTTTCATAAGGCTGGGCGTCAGTCCCTTATAAAAGGCTAATACACTCTCTTGTCGTACGATTTTGACGATACAGTCAATGACACCCTTGTATGAGGTTTGGGCGCCGAAACCCTGTCTCGCCTTCTGGAAGCCCTCGACCTGAAGGCGTTTCTTAATTAAGTCCAACGGATAGACCGTTAACTTTGAGGCAAAGCCGGCGATAGCGCCGCAAATCAGTGTCTTCTCGAAGTGAAGCAATCGTTTCACTGATTGGCTTTTGCCGTCTTCTGATAATCTCATCCACTTTTGTTTGTTTCGTTCAATGAATTGATCCCAAACTCGATTCGTTAAGTTATAGACAGTGAACTGAATGCCAGTCAAGGGTGCGATTTGGAGGAGAGTCGGCGTCAGACCCCTGAACAGCGCCCGATAGCCCTCTGTCCGTACGATTGTCCGGAAGGCGTGACGAGTGGACGTATATGTCTTGGGCTCCGATTGAGCTATAATTCGGGTCCGAATCACATCAATGGGATGAGCGACTAGAGTGGCCGTCAGTCCCGACAGCGATCCGCAGCCAAAGTGTACGAATGGCTGATACCTTCGGGCAAACTCTGGATACCGTTCGCTGTCGACGAGTGGGGATCTGTTGGCCAATTGAGTGTACAATTCAAACGTCGAGAACTGAATCGTGCCGTAAACGACGGACAAAAGTTGGGCGCAGAGGTGAGCCCTCCAAAGGCACGACAGACCCTCTTCGGCGACGATCGTGCGTATGGTCTGCGGTATTGTCCGGTACTTAGAGGTGAGACTCTTGCGATGGATGGGCTCTCTCTGGAGCTGAAGTCTAATCTTAATGACATCAAAGGGTTGGGTCACAAACCGAGTGCAACACCCGCTGACCGCACCGGCCGTCACATTACGCCAACTCACGCCCGGCTCTCGACCCGACACAGGGTTATAACCAATCATTTGTCTTCACCCGAGTCTTCACTGGCTGTCTATCTGTCTGTCTTTCGTCCGAAGACTCTTCGGCACCACTTTTCCGACGGCTTTTGCTATCAATGGTTGAATGACTTTGAGATGAATTTCGGGTTCAAACGAGACATCATATGAAGTGTGGACTCAAGCGATGGACACAAACGGATGTCTCAGATGTGGGAACCGATGAGTGATGTCATGGATATAGCAATCGTTGCAATCATTTCTTCATTCAATTCAAAACTATTAATATTAATAATTTTCTTGTTATTGAAAATCAAATGTGATTTCAAATACAAAGCCTTCACTCAATTACGTCAACCATTACTTTATTACAACATTTATAATGTAATCAATTTATAGCGATTGACACGAGTTTGTAATCGATATAATTGTAAAATTAATTTGTAATACAATTTATACTAAATTATAATTAAAGTAAATAATTAAACAAAACAAGTAATTAAATACAAAAACTTGATATAAAGGACGTGTTTTATGCGTGAATTCACGTGTCTTTTCATTACATAACGTAAACACTGAATGAATGAATGGCTTAAAGAAAATGTTTTGTTGTTTTGTTTTCACAGCAAAAATGTGTTCAAACTTTTGGACAATTGATTGCAATTAAGATATGATTTAATAATGAGATTAATAATTATGTTTAATGTATGCAAACAAAGTCACACCACTTATAGCCAATTGAAGTCCGTTTACACCCGTCTCGGGAGCTGTTGTCTCACCACAAGTGGCCGTCTCTTGAGTCCAAAGTCACCGCAAAGTCATCCCAATCGGCGTCTGTTGACCACTAAAGCCAAACGCGAAGACAATGACCACCACTTGTCCGACAAACAGATCGATCAGTTGAATGGCAGCAATAATCTGCTCCTTCATTGTCCCAAATGGGATCACATGTACGATGTCTTCTATGGCAGTCGTCAGAGTCAACACATCGATCCCAAGACTCACATTAAGACCACTTTTGATATCAATTCAAATGATGGCAATAAAGAGACCAATTTGTTGGACACGAGTCACGAGTGGAAACCCGTCGATAGACTCAACGCAAAGACATTAATCAAATATTACACACAATTAGCAAAACTAAGACTCACCGGTATTTTGCTCTTTAAATGCCACTCATTGTCATTAAATGTGTTGAATATGTTTATCATTTCATTAAAGGTCTGGTAGTGTTGACCACTTTGTCG